TCATTTATTGGGGACCAGGATCAAGATTCCGGAGAAAAGAGAGACTCCAAATGGTGGCGGAGGACGTTTATTCATTCTGGTAACTCATCATCTGCTGAAATTCATTTTGAACGTGCTTTTACATAGCAGTGGCTAACATAAAATTTGCACAGAAATGTTACAAGTGGTTCCCCAGCCCCACAGTGGGTAAGTGCCAGTCAAGAGTTAAGCATCCCCAAAACAAAGCCTTTATTCCTGGGAGCTTGTTGGCAGGGGCAGGGGTGACTGAAGTCAGCTGGCTGGGAGGGGAGAAGGGAGAGAAGTGCAGGAAGGGCTCACTGACAGGAATGGGGTGGGGGTGGGGTGAGACAAGCCAGGGGCAGACTGTGAAAGCTGTACCTGTTAGAATAGCTAGCACGTTATTTTAAACAAGTGAAGAAAATCGCCAGAGTGAAACTTATTTATGGGGGAAAAAAAAAAAAGCTTGGGAAATTAAAACAATCCAGTGATCACTGGAAAATGTCTCCCTCTTTTTAAAAAAAAAAAAACTTTTTTTTTGGTTTTTTTTATTTTTTTTTTATTTTTTGGAAAGTATTCTCAAGGTATATTTTTTTCCTTTGGAAAAAGAAATCTTTTTCCCCCCCTAACCTAAGCAAGTGGAGTTGCCACTACCTAATTTATCTATTGTTTTGCTAAGAGGTAGATAAAACAAAAGTGAAACGGGGCTTCTATGAGGAGGTCCATTAGAGGGTGGGGAGGAGCTGGGATTGCCCAGTGGAACTCCCCCAACTACAAAGACGGCCTGAATGAGTCCAAGGACCAGGCCCTCAGACTCTCCCAGGGCAAAGGATCCTGCTCCACCTCTTCTTCTAGAGCCAACTGGGGCCCCCTTGAAGACTGAGAAGGGGCCCAGTGGAGGTGTAGGATCTCAAAGAAACCCTGTTGAAGAGGTCTCAGATCTGGCTTCCCCAGACTTTCTGACTTAGGGGCTGTGTGGGTGGGTTCCAGACCAAGCCCCAGGTCTCACTCCAGCCAGCCTCCTCTAGAAGGGAGGCGGCCATTCCTTTCCTCACCATCTGGTCCAACAAAGCTATAGAAAGTGAGGGACAAGCTGGAGGCCAAAGGGGTGACACATGGGCAAGGAAAACAGAAAGCGGGGACCTCACGGCCAGCCCTCCCAGCCCAACTGATGGGGGGGAATCCTGGCAGGCCTGCTTGTTCCCCAAGGACAAACCTTTTGTGGCACAAGCCTCAACTTACTTGTCCTGGCTGGGATGCATACCCTTATGCACGAGTCCCTGCCCTTAGTTCCAATCTTACTGTAAGGATTGAGGTAGTTAATCCATTTATACTCGTAGCATCCATCACCTGCGGTTAATCAAAACACATGCTCCTGAGGAGCTTCCTGCTATTTCATTCAAGAAAAACTATTCTTTTTCTTTTGTCCATCCGGAGTCAACCAAACTAAGGCGCCTGCAAAGGCGCCATCAGACTGTGCCCCCAAAGCAGGGCACAGGGCCGAGGGTCAGGGCTGGGGCTCTCACCCCTAAATCCCCCTTTAGACATGAGGCCTCCTCCCTGTCCCATATCCTAATAGAGAAGCCTTATGTATCCAAAGGAAAGAAACTGAAGTTTTCAGCTGGTGTTACTCTAAGTCTGAATACAGAAAAATGTTCTGCATCTAAATTATCGAGTATTTGGAAGAGAAATGGCTTTTATGTCCCCTGGCATTGATGAGGATTTTTCTTCAATCTTCCTGCAATTACTGTGACAGGCTGTGCTGTTTCCCTTCTACTGGTTTTCAAGAAACAAGCAAATAGTCAAGTGGTTTGAATGGCAAAGCCACTAGGATCTCCCCATAAACACTTCAGGGGAAAGAAAGGAGAACCCCCCTACCCCTGATGAGAGGTGGGAGGAAGGGGTTGCCTAGAGGCACCAGCTTCTCCTGTGGGGCAGGAAGGCTCGAGCAGGCCCTCTGGGGCTCTGTGAGGTAGTTACTAGCACTGCTGGTTCCCAGTTTGGCAGAGGGTATGTCTGGGGTGGGAGGAGGGGAAGGCACCCTTGAGAGCTAACTGAGGCCCCTCCTCACTGCCCATCTGCCAGGCCTGAAGGGAACTCGGCAGTGCTATCTCTGCAGTAGGGGTAGGGGACTGAGAGCAGTCCCACAAAAGGGAGCTACCTGGAGCCCCAAACTTCCTCTCCTTCCCCAAAGTGCAACCAGGAGCTGACGGACCAACTTCTTGGCTCCCTACCCCTTGGCTTGGCAAACACCACACCCTAGTCCCCCAGGAGCCTCTGAAGGGAAGGGCCTTGCCCTTAGCTCCCAGTTTCCAGGAGGCCTTCCTCCTCAGGCAGCCAGGTATGTGTCCAAAGCTGGCTACTGCTTTGATTCAGAAACATCCTCTCTCATCCTGTGTCTGTCTGTCTTTGGCACAGAGGAAAATGGACACATAGAACCAACTAGAGCATCCCCTTCCAGTGTTCTCTGGCTTTTAAATGGGGTCTTTTCTGCCAATAGTGAGGCATAAACAAGAGAATAGCTCCCAACTGCCTCCAGAAGGAGGGGTCAGGAAAAAGGAAAAAAGATTGATAAGGACTGGGAGAAGGGAAGTGAAGAGTAGAAGGGCTATAAAACTCCCTGTCCTTAAAAATGGCTCTCTCCTAACCAGACCCCTTCACAGGAGCTGAGTCCACAACCCCAACTGCAAAAGGCAACTAGACCCGAGAGGGGATTAAAGCCATTTGGCGTGTAACTGGCAGATGCAGCTTCAAAGTCAGTCAGTGAATCAAACCATTTTGGTTATGTGTTTCAAAGAATTTAAAAATAGATCCTAAAGAGATGGTCCTTTCTTAAAAATATATATGCAGCACACACACACACATATATATCTTAGAGCACAGAAGCATTTTTTTTAAGTCACTCTTCTCAAATCATCCAAATCTCCCAAGTGCTTTTCACAATAGCTTGCTATCTCACCAAGGATGGGGAAATGGAGGCACTGAGTAGGAAGGCAAAGAGTTGCCCTAAGACCTAGCCTACGGGGCACAGGAGGGCCCACCAAGACAGGTCCTTCATCCCACTAAACCTTAAGCACCAAACCATGCTCCTTTTGCTTACTAGTGGTATAACTTCCACGATCTTCCTGCTGGTGCAAATATCAACAACTAGCGGTGCCTTGCCTAATAATCTAAGCAAGTGAAGTTTTTCCAGTCCCTTGCCACACACTTCCTGGTCTCTTCTGGGAGCTGAATCAGCCAACGGAAAAGGACTTGGACTCAAGTTGTGAAGGGAGCAGACCCCCAAGGAAACTGAACACTGCAACAATCACATTTCAGGTACTGTGGGATATTTTTTTTCTTCCTGATGATAGCCTGAACCAGATATCAAAGCATGCTTGCTGCTGGAAACTCGCTTTAAATTACTAAATGGCCGATGTCTGAACGTTATCTGCTTTGTTTTGGGATAAAGCATAGAGAGCCAGAGATGGAAAACTGGGAGACCCTTTCTGTGGTTGGGACAGGTGGAGACGCTTAATTCTACTGGCCTGATGTGATCCTTAAATGCTTTTCTGCTTCTCTTCAATTTGAGCCAGACAGTTCTGGGGGCTACAAGGGAATGTCCTAGGGAGAAAGTGATAAGGCAGGAACCTGTCCCAGTCATGGCTCCATATCCCCTGCCCCTCCTTGCCACCAGCCACCCTAAATCAGTAATTCCCTAAGTTTGGGTCCACTTTTAAAATCAATCAGACCAATCTAAAGAAGACAGGGAGAAAGAGGTGGGGGCAGTTATTTAGTATCCGTTTGCCCCTTGGATCTATGGATGTAGATTAAGAAGAATACCAAGATGTAATTGAAATGAAACAGTAACAAAAATAATGAAAAGCATTGCAATGCCAAACCAGGTGGACCTCTCTGAGGGCGAGAGGGTGGCCTTGTCTTTCTTCCATGAATGGAATTTTGGCTCCCATATTTTTAGACGGAGAAATATAGATTTTTTTTAAAGGGTATATTTTTTAGGTATTATTTCTCTCCTCGATAAAACGGAGGCAATATTTTAAAATATCTCAACAGCACCACTGGTGGGAAAAGCTGGCTGGGATGCTGTTTAACCAAAGGAGGAAAGAGAGGAGACCAAGGGTCAGGTGGCTGGTTGTTAGACATTGTTTTGCCACACTGAGGGCCCCCAGCTCTGCTAAGCCTTTTAACCCTATCAGGTAGGATATTCCAGCAGCGGCCGGCAGCTGGGGCTCTAGAAGTCAGAGATCAGAGCCAAATAAGGCTCTGGGCTCTGCCCCTCTGGGCTCTCAAAAACCTAGTAGCACTAGCTAGCCTCCTCCTAAGGGGCCAGCCCCCACAGCCTTTCCCACCAGGCCTGTTCTCCATAGAGAGTTCCTAAAGGGTTACTGGCTCATGTTGTAAGAAATTATGAAACATAACTTTCTTGTTTTTTCTTTTCATTAAAAAAATAAAATATTCAAGACTATCAGCTTCTCTTTTGCTTTGCTTTTCTTTTTTATATAAAATATCAGCAAGCCGCAAAAAAAAACAAAAATCAAAAAAAAATTTTTTAATGGGGTTGGGGGGAACAAAAAGGAAAATAATTGCTGAGGTAACTTCATACCTTGAGGTAGTTTACTTCGCACACAGCATTGCCTGACTACGCCCACATGTTGCGGTTGTCTTGTTGTTACCGTTGTTGCAATGTTGAAAGGAGGGGAACTCCACACATGGGCTTTTCCACATGTAGAGAGGCCTTCCTCCCTTCCCAGCACACTTGATAGCATTGTCCAGGGTAGCTAAAGTGCATTACCTGGCTAATATGCATTGTCAATCAGTATATTAGGAGGGGAGGCCTAACCTCATTTAACTGATGGCTTCTGTCCCCTACAAGGGCTAAACACTCCATGGGATCTTACTGAGCCTGGTAAATTAATAAATTAAGCTTATTTACCCCCTTCGTGTACAATGCTGCTGGTATTCTGAATATGCCAATAATAATTCACGGAGACAGAAGCCGTCCGTTAAAAATTCCTCTCAGATACAAACAAAAGCAAGTACTCTCCAATTTACTGAATTTGCCAGATGATGGACTTTAGCTTTATCGGGAGTTCAGGGTTGGGTTCCAAGTCCCACTACCAAGGAAACAGTGCCGTGGCTGGGAGTGCCCCACAACCCCTGCCTCTAGGAACCAGCCCTTATGGGAGTACACGGGCTGGGGTGAGGGCACCGTGGCAGCCTTTGGGGCCACTCAAGTCCTCCATGGAACTGAGACTTTATCAAGGGGAGTTAGCGTCCCCTTCCCAGTGCTCATATCCAATCATTAAAATAGACTTTAAAAAAATATAAAATCCGCCTGAGAACGATGGGAATCAGGGACAGTGGTCAGCCCCTACCCTGCTGAGCATTCAATACCACCTATGTGCACCTGGACATAATGTGGAACCTACATGGAAGAGGGACGTGAATGTGGTGGGGAAGCCCCAACACAGTGGGGAAATTTCAGTTGTGCCAATTTGAAGATGGTGATCTGGAATAGATCAGCCACAGGGGCACTCCTTTTAAACGTGGATTACTATGTATTTTAACCATCTTTCTCTCCATTTTTCCCTCTTCTTCATTCCTTATTATACCTATTGATTGGTTAGGGAGTAATCTATAGGCACTGACCATTCTTTTACCTTGAGTCAATATTGTAGGCAAAGCGATGCATTCCTTCCCATTTTTATCTGGTAGCAATAAAGATAAAACAATTAGTGTAAATATAGAAAGAGGTGGTGAATGGAGGTATTTTAATCAATTACCCAAGTAGGAGGAAGAATACTGGAAAAGTGTTAGTAGGGTCAAGAAATGAATCATCCTTTAAGGCTGATTAAAACACCCCTCTGCATGTTTTTAAAACCTGATGGAAATTTTATTTTTCTTCCCACTGGGGTGTTATCCTCCCTCTTAGTGGGGCCTGGAGAGCTTCTTTATACAATCCACGTTTAAAAGTGCCTTGCACTAGAATTTCTGACACCCCAAGGGGCGGACAGTGTTGGGCCGATTGGCTGGGTGTTTGGGGCTGAGAGATCAGGGTTCCTCACTGGAACATCTTTCTCAAGCGAGTGGGCAAACCTGATCTACAGCCCGGCCCAGGTGTCCCGGATTCCCAACTCATTCTCAGGCCTGCCGGGAAGAGCACACTCTGGATTTCTGCCCGTTGTTGTCCTGGACTTGAAGGGATAGGGAGTGGCTGGTCACTTCCTCCGTGCCTGGGCCTGGTTACTCTGTCCCTTCTGATGCTGCTGTTTAACCTGGGCCAGGATGTCTCGGATCTTCCGCTGAGCCATCTGTGGCAAGAGCAAGCAAGAAGGTGGGGTGAGGACCTCCAAGGAAACAGTCTTTCACGAAAGAGAAGTCATCAGGTCCAGATACAAGCAATAAACAGAACAGGTCACATGGGACTCAGAAGAAAGATAACGAGGAAGAATGAGGGTTGGGGTGACCTTGTTATTTCTTTGCTTCCAGTGAAGCCTGAGCATCCACTGGAAAATACAGCAAACATGGTGGATGTGGGTGGGAGATGGGGTTGGGAGATGTGATGGGAGGAGAAACAGTAATATAAATCCATTCATCAGAATCTAAAACTTGACAAAGTTGATACACATTACCGAACCCAAAATAGAATGCCTAGAGAGTTTCTAGGTAGAAATATATTACATGTTGTAGACCAGTGGTCCCCAACTGTTTTGGCACCAGGGACTGGTTTCATGGAAGACAATTTTTCTTCCATGGACAGGAGTGGGGGTGTGGGTGTGGGCGTGGTTTAGGATGAAACCTCAGATCAGCAGTCAGTAGTTAGATTCTCATTATGAGTGCATAACCTAGATGCCTCCAATGCGCTACGCATTCCTCGAGCACTTCACAACAGGGTTCATGCTCCTATGGGAATCTGATGTCCCACTGATCTGACGGGAAGCAGAACTCAGGAGGTAAAGCCCACTCACCTGCTGCTCACCTCCTGCTGTGTGGCCCAGTACCAGTTCGTGACCTGGGGGTTGGGGACCCCTGTTTTACAGTGTTGTTTAAGAGGGTCATAGCTTAAGAGATCACAAATCCACGCCTCATTTTAATACTCCAGGAAAAGGAATAAAATGTCCAGATATGGCCAGGCGCAGTCACTCACGCCTGTGTAATCCCAGCTCTTTGAGAGGCCAAGGTGGGTGAAATCACCTAAGGTTAGGAGTTCAAGAGGAGCCTAGCCAACATGGTGAAACCCCATCTCTACTAAAAATACAAAAATTAGTCAAGTGTGGTGGCGTGTGCCTATAATCCCAGCTACTTGGGAGGCTGAGGCAGAAGAATCATTTGAACGGAGGTTGCAAATGATTGAGGTGAGGAGGTTGAGGTGGAGCTTGCAGTGAGCCAAGATCGTGTCACTGCACTCCAGCCTGGGTGACACAGTGAAACGCTGTCTCAGAAAAAAATTTTTAAATAAATAATAAAGTCCAGATATGGGTTAGTCAAAAAGCATAAATACATAAGCTTCACTGTAAAAATGTACAAAATACCAAATCTTTTATTATTTCCTTCTTAAAAGGTTCTTCCCTAAGAATAAAGTTGTATAAGGCAAATCAACTGCAAAACGGGATTCACTTCATAGAATGAAGACCAGAAGAATGTCTCCTTTCCATAAATGAGTGCTTCCTTTCCTGGTTAAAGAGGAAACTGAGCCGGGCGCGGTGGCTCAAGCCTGTAATCCCAGCACTTTGGGAGGCCGAGGCGGGTGGATCACGAGGTCAAGAGATCGAGACCATCCTGGTCAACATGGTGAAACCCTGTCTCT